AAAAGTAGTACGCTTGTCCGAGCCACCTGGAGCTGAAGCTATGTTCTGCAAATTGTTTTTTGAAAACGAATGCCTAGTAATTGGAGTAGTTTACAGACCACCCGGCGAAGATGTAAAAGTCCTGGAAGAGCTGAAAGCATTTATAGCTTCCCTTATATCGCAAAACACAAAGCTCATTCTTTGCGGTGATTTAATTTGCCGGGAATCGACTGGAATACATTTTCAGCTACTAATAATGATATAGTGTGTGGTGAAGAACTTATCGACATTGCGTTTCGCTTTGATCTAAGACAAATAGTTAAGGATTGTACACGTGTTCACGGTGAGTCTAAATCCATTCTGGATCTCGTTTTTGTTCGAAGCAACATTCCGGGAACTATTGAGTGTGATGTAGTTGATGGCATCTCCGACCATCATGCGGTGCTTGTACAGTTTCCTTCTTTAAAGGCGACGAAACATTTTAAGGTTATAAGTTTTCAGGACTTTGCAAGAGCTGATGATGTATCTATTTTGGAAATGTTGGAATCATCTTACGACGATTTCTTTCGCAGTGTTCACACATGTGATGTTAACGCTTTGTGGGTAAAATTTAGAAACATGGTCCATGCTTGCATACAACTTTTTGTACCCCTTAGAACTAAAAAAACTAACGTATCCAATCCTTGGATTACACGGGACATTATTCATTTAAAAAGGAAGGTTAAGCGTTTGAAGAAAGCTAAAAAAAAGCTCCACCATAACACAAATATTCATAATCAAATCTTAAGCGTATCTAAAGAACTTAAAATTAAGATGCGAGAAGAGAAACATAATTTTTACAATGTTAGGCTGAGTAAAATGATAAAAGAGTCCCCTGCCTCTTTTGGAGGTTCATAAAACCGGTGATCTCAAACTGTGATACCTTCATTGTAAATAATGCTTCTACCTCTGATGCTACTGTAATTGCCAGTGAATTTAATGATTACTTCAAATCTGTATTTGTCACAGATGATGGAAGCTCCCTTTTTATAAAAAATTTTGTGATCTGCCCCCTATAGAAAATTTAGATGTATCAGAATCTGGGTACTTAATTTATTGTTAGACCTGAATATAAAAAAAAGTCCTGGTCCAGATGAAATACCCAATGCGTTTTTAAAGCGGTACGCGTTATGGTGCGCCAAGTATCTTACATTAATTTATAACTTATCTCTGTCCACTGGTCTTTTACCTGATGACTGGAAGACGTCGATAGTTAAACCCCTACATAAGCAAGGCGATAAACACCTGATAGCCAATTACAGACCAATAGCCCTCACCTGTACATGCTGTAAACTATTGGAGCACGTAATTTACAAGCATGTTATGAAATTCTTGGAAGCCAACTCAGTTTTATCACCTGCACAGCATGGTTTCAGGCATGGGTTCTCCACCGTCACGCAACTAGTTGAGGTAATTCATGACTTTGCTTCGGCGATCAACAATCATACTCAAATTGACGCTATTTTTCTGGATTTCACCAAGGCGTTCGATAAACTGTCGCACCCAAAACTACTACTTAAAGTTTCGCACATCTTAAAGAATAGTACAATTTGTAACTGGATAGAGTCTTACTTAACTTCTAGAAAACAGTGTGTCTCGTTTAATCAAGCTACTTCAACCATGCTTCCGGTTTCTTCGGGAGTACCCCAAGGATCGGTGTTAGGACCATTATTATTCTTACTCTACATCAATGATATTGCTGACAATTGTAATGTAAAAATTAGGTTGTACGCGGACGACTGTGTAATTTACTCCGTTATTAACTCTATTAATGATCAACTGCAACTGAACAGGGAACTTCATCAGCTTTTTCAATGGTGCAATATATGGCAAATGTCAGTAAATCTTAAGAAAAGTGTTGTCATGTCTATCGCAAATAAAACACATATACACTCATTTGACTACATAATTGACGGTACCATCCTATCTCGCGTCGAGCACTACAAGTACCTTGGTCTTCACATTCGTAGCGACCTGCGCTGGAATGATCATATAACAGAGATCACTAACAAAGGAATGTCGAAACTGCATTACTTAAAACGCTCCCTTCGTCATTCTTCTTGTGATACTAAGCTCATAGCATTTAAAACACTTGTCTTACCTATTCTAGAATACGCTAATATTGTTTGGGACCCCTTTACACAATCTAATATTAATAAGCTAGAAAGAGTCCAAAACAAAGCCGTAAGATTTATTTTCAATCGCTACGATAGGGTCTCGGTCTCAGGCTTAGTGGCTAAGGCTAATCTGAAGCATACTTCGGCGAGGAATAAAATCGCACGATTACGTTTTATGTTTAAAATAGTTAAAGGTCATCTCAACGGCAGTATATCCAATTATGTGCATTTTTCAACAGGTTATGATACCAGAATGCGACATTGTTTTTCAATCACTCCATATCAATCGGCTAATAATATTTTTAAGTATTCTTTTTTTCCGCGAACGATCGATGAGTGGAACGCCCTGGATGCACCCACCGTTGAGGCCAACAGTGTGGAATTGTTCGATTCATTGCTTGCCGGTTGATTGTGTGGAGTTCCTTTCTTATGCATTGCTTGCCTTTCGCCTCATATTTCGGCCTGAATGGGTGTCCGTTTTTGTTTCTGGTTTTTTCTTTATACATTGTGCGCCTGTTTACATTGTGCGCCTGTACATTACACATTGTGCGCCTGTTTTGTTTTAACTAATTGTGTTGGTTCTTTGCTTTGTATTGTCTTCATTTTTATTGTAACCCCACTCTGCGGCGACTCCACCAGGAGTTAACAGTATTGTCAAATAAATAAAATAAAATAATTGTTCGAGTTGGACGTCCCAAAAGCACGATGTGGTTATAAGGGATGCCGTAGTCAAGAACCCCGAAGTTTTCATCATCTTGTATTCTTTAACGCGTATCTCAGTCTAAATGCGAGAGTTTTGAGCTTTTTCGCCTCAGTCAAAGGGCTGCCGCCGTGGCAGGGATTTGATCCAGCGACCTTCGGGCAGCCATCGAGAGCCACAGTCACTAAACCACTATGGCGGGCATTCTTGGGGGAGAAGCAATGCTAACGGAGTGTAAAGGAATATTTAGGGTGAGGGGATGGGGAGATCAATACAGTGATTGGAGACCATAGAGGATCAGCGAAAGAAAATGGCTCCCAGCTTCTAGTCGCGTTCGTGAATAAAGGACAGCGTTAGGTCCGTAAACCAAAATGTAAACTTATCTTCCAAGTTTTCCGGCCAATGGTAACTGTTATATTTGAAATTTCCACAGCCCATTATTCCTTATTTCACTTGTTTCTTTCTGAAAGTGCCCACAAAGAGCCATGGGAAGCGAAGGGCAGTGACGGATCAATATCTTAGGTTTTAGTTTAGAATGAATTGCTTTGTTTTTTTTTCTTTGATAGATCGCGCGTTGTTTTCAACTCGAGAGAAATACCGGTTCACAATGTACTATAGGCGCCACAACTTCATGAGGGAGTAAAAAAGTAATCGTTCCTTTCCGATTTTCACAACTTTTACTTTGTTTGTGCAAATAATGCCACCTAATCTTCATGTGCCATTCACCCTCGCCCTCTTCTTTTGAGCTGTGTTGTAACCAATGTTCAACGAACACACTTAAGCTTTGACACTATCACCTCGATTGCCTTACGCAACGCTCTTTTGTAAACAAAAAGTTACAAGCTGTGTTTGCGCAACAGGCAAAAAAAGTGGCCATATATTTTGTCATTTCTTACTACCTGTTATTTGTCATGACTTCGGCACGTGCTTTGCTGCGTACTGAACCGCAAACATGATCAGTTTTTTTTCTTTAGCAGCAAGAAGGGCACTTTATTTAGCAAACTCATAAATGGCAAAGTTTTGAAATTTGGACAGTTCTTACACGTGAAATGAATAAAACATAAATCAATTATTCTTTCCAATGATCTTGCGGTATTCCTGTGAAAGTGAAGTTCTTGATTGTTTAAAATCTTTTTAAACTTTGTTTTCTTCCTTTATTTTGTATATTTGCATGCGTAACCGTAGCTATGGTGGGAACAAAAAGGAGATAATGTTTGATGCTTGCTGACAGCGTGTTCACTTCCTAAGCAAAAACCTTGCTTTTCAAAAATTTTCTGGTCTAAAAGAAAATGCGGTCTGCATAGCTAAATGAAACTAGAACTTTACCAAACGGCAGGTCGTTGCAGGTATGCCGTGCTAGAGCACATGGACCTTGTCGATTTCCTTTTCAAGAAGCGCATCTGAAAGAACTGCTTAGAAAAAGGCAGTGTTTAAAACATTGGGTCTTGGTATACGCATATGACGTCTTTCACAAAGTAAAAACAATCATTTTCCCTGCATAATGCACCATTAGTAGCGTTATTAACGATGTCCGGTGTTGCTATAGCGACAGGTCCATGACTGCCCTAAAGCAGTCACGCGTAATATTTTTCTCGATCAGCTTCGCTACGAAGCTACGATGCATTTTGAGAATAAGTGGCTGCGTGGAATTTCAACGCTGTTTTCGGCGCGCGCTTGAAGAAAACGAAGCCGAGGAGGAAGAAGTGTCAGAAAAACTGCACTACACTTTCTTGGCCAATCCCCCTGAGTGGGTATGAGCCATCATCTCAGGGAAACGAACAAACAAAGAAATGTCAGCGCTCAATGAAAAATTGCCACGTTTGCGTCGCTGAAATGAGCGTCATCCGTATAGTTGATAGAGCAGTTAGTATATACCAATAAAAAAAAGCTTTACCGGTAACCGTGGCAATGGTTGCTTGTTCACGGCATTCGATGTCCACGGCAAAGCAGCTCGCGGCTAGGAAGCTAGTAGCCATGCGCTCATGTCTATAATCACTGCGCCACTCTTCTTTTTCTTCTTCTTGCATTACATGTTTATTCTTACGAAATTCACGCACCGTTCTCCTGTTCCGCAACCGTACATTGACGGCTAGAAGCGGCGAGAAGTGCTCCCGTCCCGTCTATGAGCGCGATACGAGGACGAATCGCGAGAAGACCGCGCTCACCTTTTGAAGATAGGTAAGCACCGTGAGCTCGTAGAAACGGTGCTGACCCGGTCGGTACAGCCTGGAGCTGTTCTCGAAGTCTGCCTTGAGTGCGTAGTTGTGCACCTTGGAGCAGGGTCCCATCGACATCTTGGTGCCGGCCAGGGCGTCGTGCGGGCAAAGGCCTAGCAGGAAGCAGCGGCACACCTTGGGGTCCGAGTAGTGGAGCGAGTTCTTGACGCCGTCCCAGCCGGTGCCCATGAGCTCGTCCAACTTCTGACGCATGTGGTCCTTGGCGGTCATCGTCGGTCGCTGGTCCGCGGAGACGTGCTGTTGAACGGTCGACGGGAGCCAGCAGGCCCCGCCGTGGAGGTCGCCTAAAGAACGCGGGTTCGTCAAGGATGGCAGGCACAGTGTTCCAAGTGGCTCCTGCTCGCCAGCTGACACAGTGGACGTCCGAGAGCGCGCTGCTCCGTAAACCAACGCGCCACGCGCCTCTTGCACGAGCTCATGTTCCCTCTTCTTCTTTCTCTGAATGTCCCCGTCACGTCGACAGCAAGGAAACAAAGAAGTAGTTTGCACGTGCAAACTCAGTTGCCGCCCGGGTCTTGGCCTGTTCTCTTTGTGGGTGAGCGCCAGCATCATGATCATCATTATCATCAAGTTCCATTCGGATGCTGTCATTTCGGTACAGGCTTGTTTAAATTTTCGCCTAAAATAACTGGCAATGACATCGTTTCGGTTTCCCTTTGAAACTTAATGGAAGTTTTAGGAAGGTCACACTGTTAGTATTGCAATTTGTGGGGATGTTTTTTTTTATCCTTGCCTTTTCCAAATTATAAGTTAGTTGAATATTGGGCGTGATTCAATGGAGTATGGTTACATGTCATTGTTTCCTTGGGTTCCTTTTGAGTTTCTTTGAAAGGACAGACTGATTGGCCAGTTGGCAGTTCATAATTAATGCAGAAGAGCTTCGTGCCCCGTCTTCTTGCGCCGTCGATGTCGCTCTTCATGCCGTTGCGTGAATTTGTTTCCTTACTACGTATGGGCAAGTATCCCTCACGAATAATAGCGAGATGTTAAAACACGATAAGTAAGCGCAGACAAAGTTGGCACAGCAGTTACAACTGCCGAATATACATTCATGAGTTGCCGTAGACAAATAGGATAATGGTGTTAGCTTGTCCGAAACTCTGTACTGATCAACGTTTCAATCGGAGACCGGTCTTGATGAATATCGGTCCTCCTATCGGAACGTCGACAAGTGAACTACGATGTTACCGTTATGTTGCTTTCCTCTCTCTCGCTCGGCTGCTTATGTCGCACACTTTTCCTTCGTGCCTGACCCACTCTGTGGCATTCACCAAGAAAGAATGCATGAACAGGGGCCAACTTATGGCAAGAAAGGGACCAAACAGCACACAATGCGTGAAACTATGGCTAGCATCATAAGAATGCCAAGGGCATTGATGTAATGAAAACAAAAAAGAGCGAGATATGTGTTGACAGAAATGTTCTCACGCCGCAAAGGTAATAAGGAGGGTGCCACCAAACATGATGTCCCTAGCATAGTGTTCTTTTTACGACAAAGGTGTCCTGGATTTGGCCGAAGCCGCTGTGGTGGCTCATCCGCTAAAAATATCCAACAGCTGACATCGAGGATGTGGGTTATACTCCCGTTCATGGCGGCTGTACTTCGATGGTGCGAAATGCAAGGACGCCCGTTCACTTTGATTAACGTTTCTATTAAAAAAAAAACCAATGTTGGAAATGAATCTGGCATCCCCCATTACTACTTCTCTGATAATAATAACGTGGTCTGGGCATGTAATCCAAATATGACGATTTTGTGGTATTTGTAAGAACACAACTTTACAGAAGCAACTGCTATGGCAAATATTAGAAACGTATCATTATAGCTTTGACGAAGTAGCGCACTTTTGTCGAAGACCAATGAGACAAAAAGGCACGTAACCCGCGACGAAATTTATTTCATAAACCATAATTCACCTATAAATGCATCTATGCATTCCAAACGACACAGAAAGAAACTAACACACAAACGAATTATCATGAAAGAAGCGAAACTCGCGCACACACAAGCCATGGGGCGACATGGCGGTGCTTCGCCATATGTAGTAATGATGAAATACCAACTAGCCCAGCTTTCAACCTTATTGAACTTTCAACCACATTTAACTATTGAGCCCCATTGAATTCGAAGTACGTGCCCTTGGTTTTTATCCCTCCTCGGACATCACGGCCCAGGGGGATGAAATTGTGTTATAACACCAAACCAAACTAAACCAATAGAGGTGTGAAACAACAAAACAGAAGCATTACTCGTAAGATGAGTATTTGGACCTTAATCTGGAGCTCTTGGACGAGCTGCAAACGATGGAGCTTCAACAGAAGAAATGACCACGAACACATATTACTGGTTACTTTTAATTTTGATTCCGTTGACTCTGATTTCGTAAATAAACATGTATTAAGCATAAATAGCATTCTGTGTTTTACATCGAACTACACTGCTCACATATATGTCTCTGCTGGAATCTGTCAGTATCACTTATCAGTTTATTCTGTTCGCTGCTAGAACTCCACGTATCTAAATTACGAAATCATCTACTATGAATGTGTAGTAGAGCGTAATCAAGCTGAACCGATTCCTGGAGTGGCATCTTTCGAGTTCTGCTCACGCGTTGGGGTGTGATGGCCGTTGGTGTTAGCGTCCTGCCCTATGATTAGAACTTCGCATAATTTGAACACATTCATAGCCTCTTTTAGGGTTGAAATTTAGGAGCTTTTACTGTTTACAGCCGTTGTGAATGTGGTACTTGAATTACCAGTTTGAGTCTCAGGGTCAGCTTATTATTCATTCAAAATACAAAGATTTATGGTGAGTTGTACGCAAAGAAGGATCCCAAAGTCGAGCGAATGCAGTGGGACCCGCGGTTAACAATATAGCAAGAAAAAATAAATTAGGCAGCATTTATAGAGCCTGAATGGAAAGTATATATTGAAGAATCAGAAAACAAGAAAAAGAAAACACCTTCAAAGCTACACCACAAGTGCACAAGAATTAGTTTAGATGTAAATTTAGAGCTGATAGGATATATATTCAAGCTAGAAATATTCAGGAGTACTATACACACATATTTACATAGGAAATAAAGATTGTTGGCAAGCTAATCATACAATATAAAATTTTTAGTTTATGTTTGAATGTATGCAGTGATGATTCTAATTTTAGCGTGTAGGCCAAATTGTTCCGTGATTAAATCGCCGCGAAGGAGGATTTCATTGTGAATAGTTGGTGTTACATTTAGGCACAAGGAAGTTGTGATTATGGGCAAACCTAGTTTTATTAGTGTTGGTGAGTAATCTAGGATCAATCCGTTTTTTTCCACGATGCCATGGAGAATGCGCACTTCCTTAGCGGAAAAGTCACGAAACGACTCCTGGTCTTGGAGGCCTTCGTTCCAGCATTGGCAGCTCTCCCAACCCCGACCAAACTCTACCAAAACGCCAGAGCAGCACAGGGAAATAGAAATAGCAGATTAATTCACACTCCGTCTGCTTGTTAAGTTCTTTAAATAATATTATGATTAAGTGAAAACTAAACAAGCCAGATAAAGTAAGAATTGCGCCACCCTGAAGCAGTGGTGTAGCATTAGAATAAAGAGAACTTTTGGTAGTAATGCGAATGGCCTGATTCTCGGATATGCTGAATGGATGAAATATCAGTGTTGTATGTATTTTCCCGAGACGTAATGTCATAGGCGATGCGACAATGTGTGAAGGCAAAGTATAAGGACAATAAGGCGTCAAGTGAAAAAAAAATTGGCCCCGAATCTGCATGTTACACTGCAAATATCGTCGAAATACGATAGTCTTGCGTCTGGAGAGAGTGAACAAAAGGTGTATTCGATGTTCTGTGCAAGAAAATCGTTAAGTGGTATTCTGGAGGCAATGCGTTAGAGTACCTCGAGCGTGTAGCGGAGGCGAACGAGCGCATCGAGGCACGTTAGGCCCGAGCGCCATCTGGCAGTTATCTTCGAAAAGAAAGGCGTGCGCGCTCGCGGAAAGAGATGCGCGCCTGTCTCAGAGGTAATAAGGTGTAGAACGCAAAGCGACGGACAGGTGCCACCACCATGTCGTCGTAGCAAAGCGTTGGAAACCTTTACCTTTTTGAGCATCGCGTTGCACTGTCAGCGCAGCGCGATAAACGCTACAGTCCTTAAAGTTACTTGTGTGTGCCTCTTCTAGTATAAAGGCAGACATACAAAACATCAACGTGTTGTTATGGCGCCTCAGATATGCGCAATAATTGCTTTTTAATTGACAAACGCACAACTGTTAACGCTAATTCACATAAATTCACAGGCCAAGGGCCAAGCCTCATAAGCGCAAAAATGAACGCGACAGTGACGAGCGACGCTATGAGCGACGAAACAGGGCGTTCGCGCGACGTGTCGCGTGCTCGTTTTCGCGCGATCGCTCGGTTCTCCAGATTTGGAAACCGTCGCTCATCGCCCGGAAGTGCTGGGCTCAAGCAGCCAATAGCGAAATACCGGAAAAGACAGCACTACATAGGTGCACGTGACCCTGCCCGAGTCACGTATGCGCAACAAGAAATAATGCAATGTTTATTACGCATGTGCATATAAAAAAGTTCTGCAAGGCAATAATAAACACTTTCCGTTTCATTACAGAACAATATATCTTATTTTTAAATTGCATACCGCTCGCTACGCGGTTTTCTAGGTGCGAGTAGACGGTCTCATGCCAGCAAAAGTGGAGTTCGCTCGCCGAAGCCGTCGCGTGAATGAGGTTTGCCTGCGCTAGCGACTGATCGCGCGAAGCCGATCTATGTCGCGTCGCTTGTCGCTGTCGCGAGCATTTTCGCGCTTATGAGGTTTGGCCTTATTTCACAGGTGTTTAAATGAGCGGCTGAAAGAGCACACTGACAACGGCTCCTCTACAGTTTCGGGCCACCTCGGCATTCATTGCCGAGACTGCGGTTGTGTCCCCGATTTTCAGCTTTGTACCGTCATTAGGCGTCATCGGGACCAGGTGATACGTGAAATCTATGAGGCTGCAGAAATAGAAAGGCTGGGCAGTGCATGTGTCAGCAGGCCTTCGATTGCGCTATCACAAAAAGAAATAGATTTCCTTCGGAACGTTAGCACACGTGTTGTTCAAGGTGCGTTGTGACGATGACTACGTAATTGTTAGGTGGATTCTGTTTTCTTTGTTTTGTATTTTTCTCCTTTTTTGTCAGATACTGCCCAAGTATATATTGTGCGGTTCTATCAAATAAATCTTGTGGTAAGGTAGTGCCGCTGTCTGTCTCCTTCTTTTTCTTGTCCCTCGTTATTGGCGCTGTTTTTTATGTGAATCATGTTGTACCAACTCGCCCGAGCAACCACGTTAGCTGTTAACGCTAAACCATGAGCAATATTGATGGGCGCTGTGGATGGGGTTGGCCGTTTGGTGCCGTTTGAGGTATCGTTAGGGCGGACAAACAGACAAAAGTACAGACAGACCAAATTTTTTTTTGTCTAAGCTCCCCAAGAAAGACTATCGTCTTTAAAAAATGAGCGAGCATTGATGAGTGCTCTTATACCAAATGCCGTTTTTTTTGTTTAACGAAAACAACGTGGTTAGTTAATATTATA